ACTATTTACACTGCTCTATCAAGGACCAACTACAAACCCAAGCTGACATCCTGTACAAGTGTACATAACAGTTTATTTTTGCAATGCAAACATTCAAGGCAGGTACGCAGAGGTGAACTACTTCAYGTTGGAGCCACTGGGAATGACCCTTCGTGCATCAGCCGTTAGCTTACACAGGAATTAGATGATGTGTAAATATTGGGATGGTTTCTCAAGTGCACAAATCCCTGAGCTCATGTTTAGATGAGTTAGTTAAGCACCAGGCTAAGAGCGTTGAACAAACTAACATCTATCAAACAAAAAAGTCTGTAAAATACCTTCCAAACCTCTCAGAAAGTATATTGTTTCGTCACATGTTTTTTTCTTGAAATTGTCTCGGCAACATATAGCATGAGGTTTTAGTTACAGTCCTTGAGCAACTGAGGTGCATGTCATAAACAGATGGCGACCTTGTGTTTTGCTCAGCAGCATTTTCTATATTTTTGCTAAAGCATCACCAGATAAGTCCTTAAATCAGATCAGCTGGAACTCATAAAACAAATTAGACAAAATTGGGTTTTTCTATAAAGACAAATAATCCAGTGTTACATTTCAATGTACAGTATTTAGCCATGAATAAATGAGATTTCCAAGAATCTTTGGTGCGGGGTGGGTTGCAGGTGCTCAGCTGAAATCTGTTAAAAAATATTTCTTATGAGTTCCGATTTAAACTAATCCATGGATCAATGAACAATACAGATGAAGAAGTGGCTGACCAAGACGTTTAGGAAAGCTGACGCCAAAACTGATGTGAGTTATAAAATACCAGCTTGGGGGAGATGACATTATCTTCAAAAATTCAAAAATATAATTGAATTTTAAAACAATGTTAATGGCATTTTGACATAACTGTTAGGAGAAATGCAAAAAAAAGAAACTAAACATAAAAAACACATCCTAAATTGATTAAAGCAATACAGTTTAAAAGATGTTTCATTTTTCCCTTGCTTAATGAGTTTATTACTGATGTACTTCAACTAGTGATAACTGGAGTCACAAGTCTGTTGATTTGTGGGTCAAAAGTTGAAAAGATTAGAAACCACTGGTTCAGGTAAAAAAAAAAAAAGAACCCAGAGAAAACCTAAAGGATCTCCTCACATTTGCTAATATTAATCTTTGGGAAAAAAACAAAACAAAATAAAAAATTTGGAACAAACAGACATATTTTCATTATGTGCTGAGGAACTGCTCAGAAAATGTCTAATATATTCTGCCAGTCTACAGTTCAAAGACATGACAATACCAGAAGGCTGTTGGAAATGTTTTTGCAAAGGAATGATACAAAAATAGAACTTCTGAGTTTAAAAGAGTGAAAAAACCTGCATTTTAGCATAACACCTGATCTATAAAATATGGTGGGTGGACTGAGTACACAGTCTTTGTTTTGTTTTGTTTACTTGGTTTCACTAAGAACTATTCAGCTGTTGTTTTGTCATATTCATGCAAAAATCCTGACTTTTCAAATACCTTAACTTTAGTTACTTCTCACATTTTATATATTTTGAGCAAAGAAAAACTAAATAAAAAGTCACAAAGAAAACCAAATGCAATGGATTTGTCAGCAAAGACGAGATCCTGTGGCTGAGATACATTTAAGCTAAAGTAATTCGCACAAGACTTTCATTATGTTCCAACCTTGTGGGACTGTGAACTATCCCCTCACTTTTGCCAGAACTGAATTAAATGAGATTAGATTAGTTTGCCCTGAAGAAGAATTGGACATGTCCTCAGATTTTAACTCCCGTGTTGCACAAACAGAGCTTGTTGCAACACAGCCACATGCTGAAACGTTACCCAAAAAGAAACAAAACCCAAAAATGACCATAGTTTTTAATGTAGTAAGACAAACTATTTACACATTTTGGCATGCTGTTTATTTTACAGAAATAATATGTCCTATTGTGATATTATTTTTGGCAGAGAAGATAAAAAATAAAGAAAAACTCAGTGTAATTGCGTCACAGCTATAATTTCTTTTTTCCATCACTAAATCCAGCTTAACATACCATAATAGGGGTGACTTCATTAGTCGGTGAGTGTTCCTAACTTTGTCATTCCGGAATACTTAGTAGCAAAGAGGTCACATTTAATATCTTCATCTTTTAATAACTGCTGTTACATCTTAAAAGAAACATAAGGTGATAAATTAAAACTGATATTTCTGTAAAGATGTGGGTCATTGCAGTTTTTATTAGCTTGACTGTAGCAATCGATTGTTGGGTCAAAGAGTCAGTGTGGTGGCGGTAAACTAAATGAAAATGGAGTCTAAGTGATCACCTGCTGTGTAATGCAGTTACACTTTACTACTTTCAGATAAATATGATAGATACACATTTATGTCTGCTGTAATGCGAGTTGAGTACACTGCTTCATCCCTGAGACCTTACAAATGGGGGTCACTGTCGAATCCTCGTATATTTTAATTTTATTACAGTCCAAACAGATAAATATGATGCACCGATGTTCTTGTCACACTTAAGGATCTGAGACTATTCATTTTTTATCAGAGAAATCCATAGGGTCAACCTCAAGGCCACGACTCTCAGATATCACTGATTTTATAATGAAGGAATAAAAATGATGAGTTTCCAGTCTGCTGAATGGCCCTTAGATTAAAGTGACATTTCTCCTCAACATGCCTGGCCAGCTTCTCCATGCATGATTTAAAGGCACAACAGGGGACTTTAGGCTGGGTAAACTCAAAATAAAATGAAATTAATTTGTCTAAACCTAAAATAATAGCTTTGTCTGGAAATTGTACGCTTGCCTACAACAGGCTGAACAATACCTTTGCAGACTGCAGCTGCCCTCTTTGTCATCTTCTCTGCTCCCATCCCACTCATGTCTTGATACCACACTAAGTGGATGCATCTCTGTGGCAAAAGCTCCAGTGAACAAACTGGAGAGGTGGGTGGAGTTGTTACGATGGTTACACAACTACATCATGTTAGTGATTGGTAGGCTAACTGAGTGTACACGGGACAGTTTAAAGAGACCCTCACGCCCACAGGCATGTCAAACTCTGCCTGAGAGGAGTTTATTATGCAACTTTACCTCTGTTATCATCCCAACCAGCTGAATTAAACACACTACTCAGTAGGCAACGTTGGTAGTTTCATACTGAGGTAGTAGATCCTAATGTAAGCGTTTTGGGTGTTGCCAGGCACTGTTTTACCAAACAACTGTGCTAGAGGTGATTCTGCATAATGGCAATTCAGTTTTTATGTTCAATAATTCATTCATGTTTCATGTTTAGGGTTGTAAAAGAGGCTTGATTTTATCCCAGATGGCACAGGGTGAGAGGGAGGTCAACATTTATCACATGGTCAATTTCAGAAATGGGCTGCACATAGTTAACATATGATTGGCTACGTTAATCAAACATGCTTACTAGGGCTGCATGATAAAACTCACACTGCAATTTTTTCAAACTTTATATATATATTTGTTTTTTGATATGTTAAAAAAACAGGAATTTTCAACTATTTATTTAAAGGGGCGATATGTGTTTCTCAGGCATATATTTAAATTCTGTACCATTATAAAGAAACTGTCACCTTCAGTTGTTATTAAAATGCTGTTTATATGTTAAACAGAAAATAAACTTGACTTCTCATCATATTTGTTTCTGTCTCTTGAAGAACATCCTTCCGCTTCTGTCCCGCCCATTTCAGCACAGGTTGGGTGGGTGTGTGTGCTCTGTGATGAGGAAGCTCAGCTTGGAGACACAGCCCAGAGGAGGAGCTGATCCCAAGGGCGGTTCTAGCCCCAACCGGTCGTTTTTGCTCCCCTGCCTGGCTGCGTCAGAACACTACAGGATTTCTCAAACATGCATGAATGAGTCAAAGCAAGAATTTGGGCATGGTTTTGATGAGACGATAACATTAAAACATGATGTAAAACTCAAAAAAGTTGATTTTATATGATATTACCCCTTTAAATAACACTACGTTATGCTGCCATCTTGCTGATGATGAGGTTGCACCAATCTTACGTATTTTTGTGTGTGCTATAAGCATGTTTTTGTCTGTATTTAAGATTTATTCCAGTTATTCTTTATTGCTTGTTTTTACTGTGCCTGAGTAAATGTTCCTTCTGTCATACATAAATGTGAATTGTGTTTTACTAATAAACAAATTGAATAACYTGCCTTTGTGTTGAGCTTAGTTTCTGTTTCCATCACGTTTTAGTATTAGCATTAATGCTAACCGTATTTTACCTSTTTTWCTCCCAATTTTCGTCAAGATCCTCATCTTCTTCCTCCACAGCTCGAGAATTTATCGACAACACTTCTCCGAAAAAACAYGGCCATTATTCTCCCAGAAGTTTCATAACAAAATTAATGTTTCTTTTTGTTATTTTTTTACAGACATGACATAGATGAAAACTCCAAAATGAAAGGCCTCAAATCGAGATTTAAACTAAGAGCCTTCTTGTTGTGTATCCTGGTAACTTCACATTAGCCACACATTTTTATCTTTCCCGTTAACAAAAGTCTACTACTATTGGCTTAATTCCTTTAAAATAAAACCAAGCATGTTATTAAACCTGTGAGCAGGTATGCACGCAATTATATTAAAGCACTGTATAGGAATTTACAGCTGTTTTTTTTTTTTTAATTTAGGCTGCAACTGATGGCCTTTGTTTGGGCGGTAAACTGCAAAGAACCACTACAATCTCTGCCCAAGGTTATAAGTCTCTGGTGGTCTTGTTATATTCCTTGTTCTGCATCAACAAGGCTCTAAAATATGTGATATCTATCATCATCATCATCAACCGTGACACAAAGTTTTTCAGGTACGCAAAAAATTTAATTCATGTTTTTGAAACTTTTTGGACGCTGTACGTGCATGCACTCACACACAATGTTTCTGCTGTATCGAGAAAAAAAAAAGCTGTAGGCTTATTTTGAGGAAGTGTCGCATATAAACAAAGAATTGGATAAGGATGAGTGTTGTTACCTTGTCGCATCTCATGAGGCCCAGGTACCGGAGGGATTTGCTGCTTTGAGCGATCTGTGTGGCTCCTTGGTCTGTAATGTCTTTACACCAGCCGGCGTCAACAGTCTCTATGGTGCTGCTGTACTGGCCTATGGCTATCAAAGCTGTAGGCAGAGAGAGGAGAGAAAAAGGGGGAGGTGGGGAAAAAAAGGGGGAGACAGAAAACAGAAAAGGTGTTAGTCTGGAAAACCTTTCTCATGCAAATGTGGCAGCATCGTTCTCCCTCAAGAGACGCTCATAAATTTGCGATGAAACCAGGGCAACTCATCTGGCTAGCTGTGACACAATTTTGATACACAACACCATAAAAAGTCTGCACACACACACACTTGCATGTCTATTGAAATCATGCATACACCCTTACTTGTTCAGATGGATGATAGTGCACTGAAAGGCAGTGACAATGACAATGCAAGAAAGGTGATATTCCATTTCTTGTTTCTCTCTCTCTTGCTGTGTGTGTGTGTGTGTTCATGTTTGCTCCTACCAGGGCAGAAACATAAAGTCAAGGTAAGAGAGAATCCACCCACACACACGCACACACACACACAACAAAAACAATGTCTGCCAATGTCCGTGGTCTTTGTTGAACCCCTGAACATGCGTGCATACAGCTTGATCCACAGAAACACAAACTGTGTCATATCATATCATACCTCACCTATAATGTCAAAGTGTCCTAATCCAATGACAATTTAAAGGTGAGAAACAGAAAGATAAGGCCTTCGGTAGTTTGCTTCAAAGAGTTGTTGCTTTTACAAATGCAAGCAGACACACAGCAATCTTCCTCATCAATCTTTGGACCTATCAATTGTTGTGTAGATGGCTAAGACCTGTGTTCCACCAGTCGATTGATGGCGCAGCCCGGTGATCGATTGGTAGGCCAGGTCTTTGTTCTCCATTCTCACAACCATTACTAATGAGAATGTAAAGGAAAAGGAAAGGATGAGGGGTTGGGAAAAAGATGAAAGGAGGAAGGTAAAGCCTGAGAAAGCCTTTGACAGCACCTTCAAATAGATACTTAGCCCTGATGTTGTTTCTCATTTGCAGAAATCCATTTTACTTCAAACTTCTTTAAAAAAAAAGACAAGCTTGAGACACCTTCTGCTTCAATAAGAAGGGAAAATGTTCTCTTTACGTTCTCACTCTCACGACAAGCACTTCTCATAGAGCAGTATTAAATAACATGCAGTCAGCACATCAATAATTTTACTGTGCATTGAGTATGACGAGCAGTCCAAGACTGTGTGTGCACGTGTATGCATATGAGTGTGTTTGCAGTACGCGAGCGTCTCASCACAGGAGAGGGGAAATGAATAATCCTATGTTTTTTTTTTCTCTTCGAGTATTTAAACTTTTTTCCCTGCTGTGTAATGTAGATGACTCTAGACAAATACACGGATTCTGAACTTGCATTCAGTATGTAACATATGTAATCTATAGCTCTGGCTGCTTGAAGTGCACCACATGTGGTTCCTTTTGTGTTTCATCATGCCATGCATAATGGTACATTATGGCTAAACAGGCCAGTAACGCAGCTTTGAAGCTCCAGTGTGTTTCCTGTAAAACAGAGACTTGAGGACGAGGCTCTAGCAGACCAGATAGATTAAAAGAACGTGGGGTGGTGAAGGGTTTTTTTTTCTTGACAAATGGTGAAATTGTAAACTATGCCAAAACTTGAGGCACTTATTTGTCTCTGTGCTTAAGCATGTGGAAAACTGGACAGATTTCAAGTGAATGGAAGACTTTATATCCTGTTCCCTCTATCATTTTCAATCACATGATCCATAATTTGATTACCTGAGTTCGGTCCTTTTCGTCTGAAGTAAAGACACACACACACACACACACACACACACACACACACACACACACACACACACACA